CTAGGTCTCATACCTCTTATTCTTGCACTCTTTCTGCCATAACACTTTACTCATCTTTCCTAAGTGAGGGGCCTAATGAAGCTTCTGTTACTTAGAATGACTCTGTATTTAATAAATGTAATGATTAGAAATACAAAATTGTATGTACACTATAATCAATGACCTCTTTGCTGTCCCTTAACACAGAAGAAAGCTCTTGCCTCAGGGCTTGTGTACTTTCAGTTTTCTCTGCTCATGAAATTCTTTTCTCCAGAGTTCCATATATTTCACTCACGTCCTTTAGGTGGTTCAATGTCACCTTATCAGAAATGTCTTCCCTAACTACTCTATGTAAAATAGCAATTCTCTACTCTCCTCATTCTTTCTCAATATGTATTACCTCCTGACACATTAAGTATTATTTTTTCTTATTATGTAGAATATAAGTTCCACAGAGTGCAGAGACCGTAACTGCTATATCCTCAAGTGCCTAAGGGCAGGGTGTGACAAAATAAGCACTCAATAACTATTTGTTAAAAGAGTGAATGTTTAAAATGTGTATCTGATAAAGAACAATAAACATATCAGAACTATAATGGCTGTTAAAATGACAAGATTATTCAGGTTTTTTTCCCTTCTCCAATTTTGTAAACGAGTTTAGTATTTTCAGATTATTTGGACAACTGTTTTGGCTACACCAAATTATTGAAGTGTTTTACATAGTATATAGTTCAAAATGACTTTTAAAGTATTTTTTATCTATAGTCATTTTTAGACAGTTAGCTAGTATGAGACAGTTACTTCTCGATTCTCTAAGATATTACAATAACTGATCTCTCATCTAAACACACCTATAGTTCCTGCATGGATCTGGTAGTTAAGCATGAATGCACCTAAACTTAGAGCAGTGAGGCAGCACTATGAAAGGACGTAAGAGTGTTATATGAGGACCGATGATTTTTCCTCAATGAAGCATATTTCTCTCCAGTAGGGATCTGAGTCATTCAGCCTCTCAACATGACCAGACTAATTAACTATGTACTAATTCTAAACAGCAGAAGTTTAAGATGCTACAAGAGAAAAAGGATCTAAGATTATTTAAGCTTGAAAAAAAACCCAGTAACGTGCAATAATTTGAAGACATTCAGGTTTTCTTCTAGAAAGGACATATGACATTTATTTTCCATATTAAAAAAATATAAAATACTTGATTACCATAAGGATGAGTTTATAGGCTGTACTAATTTTATTACAAAATTTATCAGATTGTTACCTATTTTCCCCAATAGATAATTTTATAAAAGGTGCTTATAGTCCCCTAAGTTAGCTCAAAAAACTTTTATCAGTAACTTATCAAATGAATAGTACTGTATTAGAACCTAACCACTGCATCTAACAATGAATAAGCCTATAGGAAAACTTATTCACAGTTTAACCTGATGTGCTAAGTCTTTCTCTTGCAATGGAAGAAGAATCCAACAGAACTAGAGAGAAAAGTGATGAAGAGAGGTTCATGTTTCAGGGACCTGAGTGTAGGTAAAGACTGAATTTGGTAAGAGTCTCTTTTTGGTGATATAACTTGTCCTTCCTCCCACACCTAGCCTCAGACTGTCCTGTGTACATCCCATTCCACTCCACCTCCCACTCCTTTCAACTACAATTCTCTTCCTTCTGCCTCAGAACCGAGAATACGCAGTTTTAGAGCTCTTCTTGTACTCTACGGTGGCTGAAGGATACAGGCCCTTCAGGTCAAGCTTTTTCTGCTACCACTCACCTAAATGTACCAAATCTAAATAGTCTTCTTCCCAAATCAAAAAAGATGGCTTGGAGCAAGTCATACTTGTCATTGTCAAAAAAGAGCTATAGAAATCAATAAATCATATTTTTAAAAGATTGTACAAAAATGATAGATATTTTGGATTAATACCTAAAGTGTAAGAAAATGTGTTGTAAAATACGCCATGCAAAATGAATACAAACTTTAAAAATATATCTACATCTTATATCAAATGAAGATAATCTATTTAATGGTTATCTTTTCATCTTACCCCACATATTTGAGTGCAAGATTTTACGTCAGATTCACATACATTAATAACTAAAATTTATTTGGTACTATGTGCCATGTACTACATTTTATTATCTTTAATTTTTATATTAAGTCTGAGGGGTTATGATCGTCTCAATAATGAGAAAACAAAGACTTAAGGTAAAATAACCTACTCAAGGTCACACAGCTAAGTAAATGGTGAAACTGGTCTCTGGACTCCAAAATACACGTTTAAACACTGATACTACGTTGAGTGCTACACATCTCTACAAGTAGATTAAGTCTTATAGAAACTGAAAAACCAAAACTCTTACTCTTTTCCACACATCACCACCACCTCAAACGTTCCTCATTTTACCAAGCTGCTCAATCATAGATAGATCTTGCTGTTCCTTATCTCCCATACCCTACCTATCTTATCTCTTAAACCATCTAGATCCATCTACTTTCTATAGGCTCTGTCTCAATTACATTTAGGCCTCAACTACCTCACAAACTGAAACATAAGAGTTTTCTATGAAGGTACACTCTGGTGAGAGAGTCTGTATCCAGATAGAATATAGCAGATTAAAGTGGAAAAATAACAGACTCAAATTCCAAAAATAAGGCTTAATGCAAGCAACACCTGACATTATTAAATTCCAACATCTGGGACAACCTTTTTGAGTTAAAAGTCTTTGAACAGAATTTATTCTTCTATATCCTTTTCTAGCTTTTTATTTGATCCTTCTTCCTAGATACTGGTTAAAACCCTGCTTCGTGATGCTTCTGTAGCAAAATCCTTCCTTCTTAAATACATTTATTTGTCTGCTTACCTGAATAGCTTTGAAAACTGTCACCAACACAACCATTCACTTACTATATACTAATCTTATGTTTCTTTTTCCTTCCAAAGAACATACCACAACATGAGAAAGTGGCAGGCAGCTCTATAAGGATCTTATAAAATTTGAGCTCTTTAGCAAAATACGTAATAATAATAGCACTGTTTTATAGTTTTACAATGTTTTCTATTTTTAAAGTGCTTTCTTTTTTTTAAGATTTTATTCATTCATTCATTCCTTAAGATTTTATTGATTTATTTGCAGAGAGAGAGAGACAGAGAGGGAACACAAGTGGGGGGCGGGGTGAGAGGGAGAAGCAGGCTTCCCGCCGAGCAGGGAGCCCAATGCGGGGCTCGATCCCAGGACCCTGGGATCATGACCTGAGCCAAAGGCAGACGTTTAACGACTGAGCCACTCAGGCGCCCCTTAAGATTTTATTTATTGGGGCACTTGGGTGGCTCAGTCGGTTAAGCATCTGCCTTTGGCTAGGGTTGTGATCCCTGGGTCCTGGGATAGAGCTCCAAGTTGGACTCTCTGCTCAGGGGGGAAGCCTGCTTCTCCCTCTCCCTCTGCCCCTCCTCCCGCTTGTGCTCTCTCTCAAATAAATCAAATCTTTAAAAAAATACGTATTTTTTTAGAGAACACAAGTGAGGTGGGGAGAGGGAGAAGGAGAAGCAGCCTCCCCGCTTAGCAAAGAGGCCAAAGTGGGGCTCGATCCCAGGATCTGGGGATCATGACCTGAGCTGAAGGCAGACACAACCAACTGAGCCACCCAGGCGCCCTAAAGTGCTTTCATATACATTATTTCATTCTTCGGCAGTCATGTGAAGTAAGCTTTATAGGTACTATTCTCAGATTAGAAAACTAAGACACTGTCATTTTCCCTAGATAACAAGATTATGCAGAAGAGCCAGGACCAAATTCTAGACAGAGACTCTCCATTCACAGCTCTTTCTATTTATCGCTACCCCTATTTTTAAAAAAATGTTCTGATATATATATTAAGAATTGTCTTTATAAATAAAATTTCATTGTTCCCTTTCAACCATTACTTAAGCTATTTGCTTAATTATAAAAGAGGGAGAAGGTATAACCTAACTATAGAATGACAGCAAAAATGAACTTCATTTAGAATTTCTATGTAAAAACAAATGATCCAAAGATTACAAATACTTTATTAGAATAAAAAATAGTAAAAATCCATAGCAATCATATTAATCTCTTACAAAAATTTTAACCACATTGTATCTAGTTAATATAATAACCCAGAGAATAACTATGACACATAGAAATGAGCTGTAAAAAGCATGCACAGAAAGGACATGCTTTCATTTAGAACAGCATGCTTCAATTAAATTTGCAGGCAATCTGAGGAGAATATAAAACTGATGTAATAGAACTTACCTACTTTGCAAGTAAATTAAATACAGATTTATAGAAAGTCTGTTCTTTTTTGGTCAGAACAAGCCAACAACAGCAAGTAGCCAGAAATTACAATTAATATAAAAGAAAAATTCAAGAGGAAATGGATCTGCTAGACTCGTTATATATTCTTAGCTTCAAGAAATGAGTGATTATTTGCAATGAGGTTGGCAAGACAGGAAATTGAGTTAAAATTTATCAATCTTTTAAATGGCTTTTCTCAGTACAACTTTTATTGTTTTTTTAAAAAGGGGGGAAATTCTCTTTACTATTTTATACCTCTCTGTAATGTATTTATCTCTACTGACCATGAATCTTCAGAGCTCACAGAAATAAAATGGACTTTTAGAAAAATAGTTGGATTCACCAGTCCAAATTATCCTATTTCTCGTATTAAGAGGAAAGTCAGATAGTATAAATAATGAAAAGCCAAATAAGAGATCCAGGAAGAAATTAACTTAGAAGGCGACCAACTGTGTAGCTTATTCTTACCTTGGTTGTTTTTTTCACGGGTAGACATTTTTGCTGGTTGAGACAAAAATGACATATCTTACAATAAAAACTGGGCATTTTCTTAAATGACTATAATAAATGCACTTCTCTTTGATTATTATGAGCTAATAAAGTACAGTGAATGAAAATAAGTCAATATTCTTAACAATTAGCAAAAATTTAACTGGTGTAGAAAAGCATAAATTTTTTTTTAAAAAGGATTTTTAATTTACCTTGGTTGATGATGACATCTTTATGCCTACAAAAAAAATTCAAAAGATTATGTTATAATTTTACTTGGCTTATCATTAGAATCACCTAAAGAATTTGTAAAAGCTTCAATGTCTAGGTCACACCCAAGATAAATCTTCAGAAGTGAAATTCAGACATCAGTATTTTCAAAAGTTGGTCACTGGTCTCAACTATTAATATATACTTTTTTAAAAAAAATATTTTATTTATTTGACAGAGAGAGAGAGAGAGAGAGCACAAGCAGGGAAAGAGGCAGGCAGAGGGAGAAGCAGGCTTCCCACCGAGCAGGGAGCCCCAGGGACCCTGGGATCACGACCTGAGCTGAAGGCAGCCGCTTAACTGGCTGAGCCACCCAAGCGCCCCTATTAATATATACTTTTTAAAAGATATTTTATTTTTTTGAGAAAGAGAGAGAGAGCACGAGCAGGGAGGAGGGGCAGAGGGAGAAGCAGGCTCCCAGCTGAGTAGGGAGCCTGATGCAGGGCTCGATCCCAGGGTCCTGGGATCATGACCTGAGCTGAAAGCAGATGCTTAACTGACTGAGCCACCCAGTTATATATGCCCCTAATATATACTGTTTTATAAAACAGTATTTTATAAGATATCTAAACAGTGAAAGCATAGAAAGAACTTGCAAAAAACATTCAAATCTTAGGGGTTTAGTTAACATTAACAGGAAGACAGATTTCTCTTTTTTTGTACACTTAAAAAGAAAAAATATACTTAGAAGAAAAAAAGATAAATTATAATATAGATTTTAAAAATAATGATCCAAAGCAGGCATATAATTGTACATGCAAGCATGACAGTCACAGAATTATTAATTTTCAGATATAACTAAGAAAGTGCAATACCAATTAAAAAAAAAAGTACCACAAAAAAAGAAAGTGTAATACCTACTTGTCTGTATTTTTTATAACTTTTGATATTAATTTTGATGTTGAAACTGCTCTCAATAATTTATTACGACTCTCATCTGAATTTTCCCATGAATTATGTGACTTTTCAACTGTAGGTGGTCGTTTTATGCTGGAAGAAACATATTAATTTCTTTGAGAAAAATTCTATGAGTAGCAATGACATGTAATTGACAGCTTAAATAGAACATAAAAGCAGCAAAACATTTCCTTAAAGCTAATCCAGAAAAGAGAAGGAAGGATTAGTTGAAAGGTTCTGCCTGGATGAGTGAAGGAGTTAAACAAGGCAATGACCAAGTCTGTTTATAATTTTCACTATTATTCAGAAGATCCACTAGAACAAATATTACTTGATTAAAAAATAAATCTGTGCTTTTTGTTAATAGAAAAAAAAACATATGCTTAAATCCCTGAGAAAAATATCTCATAATCTGTGAAACTCTGTGAGTTTGTGAAAAAACCTATACTTTTTCATAGTTATTACCAAGCTGTTTTCAAGCTTTGCGCAGTGGCAGTATCGTAGCCAATGAGGTTTATCCGAGGCGCGATTATTGCTAACTGAAACAAAGCTGTTTTCATCTTTTATATTCTTGTGTAGTTATATATGGTACAAATGACACTTTCTAAGTAAAATGTGGGATTAAAGGTAAAACTCTTGTGACATCCCTTAAAGACAATTTTTACCCATGATCAGAAATAAACATGACTTAACACAAGAATGTTGTATTATCAACAATGATTCCATATATTTATAAATGAAATTTTTGACTTATAAATGATTTTTCAGCTGCATTGTTAACTATCCTACCACTCATCCAGTCTCCAATACTTCTTGCAATAGTATATCCAAAGAGCAATTTAGAATGGCAAGCACATTTCCCGGAGACCTTAAGAAGCTGAAAAAAAAAGATCTGGGACAAAGAAGATACCAAGTCAAATCAGAACCTTAAAGAGACTGATTATAAAAAAGCCACCTTTAACCACATACAATCCAAAGTTACATAACATTAATAAACTATATCCAAGAAAAACTCCACATGAGACCAGGCAAAAAAATTACAAACCATTTAGATAGCATAAGAATCTGCGTGAGACACACAGACAAAGCATTTTTTAAAAGTTAAACATGCATCAATCAAATGAAGAGTGTTTTCCCAAATTTCTATTAGGGATTTAAGGCAGAATATTAAATTGATCAAATAAAAATATATTATAAATCTTTGAGGAATGACTGTCATTTATTTTACTAAAATCCTAGCTAGTTTTGGGAATGGTTTAATACTTTCCTGAGATTTCCAAGCAGAAGTATGTTGAATAAAATATATCTATACCTAATCATAAAGTTTGAATCAGCATTTCTAAAGCAGGCAAATTTCATTAAGTTGGTCTAAATATCTGATTACAAGGCAGGTGTAGCACTGAACTCCCAGCATGCAGGTTTAGATCCCCAATTTAGGCTCACACACAATGTTAGAATGTTTCTCCCTTCTCCCCCTCTCATAACTTTAAAATATTAATTATTACAGACACAGAGAGAAGCCCTCAAGCAAGCCTTTAGCATAGAAAAGACCAGGTGAAATGGATTTATTTCTCTACTCAAGCAAGAACTTATCCTCCCAAAACCCAAAACTGAAACTGAGATGCAGTCACAATGAAGAGCCATTTGCGGAGAAGGGCTCTTGCAAGTTCAAGGTTGTAATGATGCCAAAATATGATGAGGATAATTACATATGGCAATTTTCTGTCCATGGTTATACATTTATGCATAGTTTATATAAACTTTTGTAAATTTTATTATAAAAATATTGTTTGGTATTAAATAGGTTATTATGGCCTTCCTTTCACCAAATTGTTTGTAACTGAGGTTTTCTTTTTTCCAGTTTTAACTGAGAAATTTTGACCTTAAATCTTTGTTCTCCAAAGTACTAAAATATAATTTTAGCAACAAAGAGGTGGTGGTGGTGGGGAAGCCACCAGGCTTTTCTCTTGGAATCCATGGATAGACAACTTTTCTCAAGTCACAGAATTTAGGTATCATTACAACCATTCCCTAGCTCTGTACTCGGGAACAGTTAAAACCTTTTGGTGGGAGTAGAATTCTTGCTTTCTTGATTTTGTCTGTGTATTTGGAGAGGCTGTGAAGAGGGCTGGGGAGAAGGTGATGCTCGAATTTGTGGACTTTGATCATTAGAATGAGATTCCTCTTTTTTTTCTCTCTGTCCTTGTGGTTTTTCTTTCTTTTTTTCTGTACCACTGTAAAATAAAGTATAACATGGAACAACACATATTTAAACAAATAAAAGATATTTCAAACGATGGAAAAAGTGATCATAGAATTCAAAATCCTAAATCATACAACTAATACAACTTATACTGCTTTCATTTAATGATGAAAATATTTCTTTGAAAATTCTGGAAGCTATTAAAATCTTCAGTAAAGAATTTATAAGAATTCTAAGGCAATATATCCTATGAAGACTGTTTGGGGACCAAAATGGCCCAATGCATTTTGCCATCTTGGCAGATTTTGGGGAACAGAAGCAGCTCTCTTAAATGACTTCAACTTACCCAAATCAGAGCATCAGTGACACCTTTCATTACCTCTGTAAAACATACTGAATGATGTGCAAGGCACACAAAACCTTATGTTTAGGAGATTATTCTGATTCCCATTTCTTCTGCATATTTCTCCTCTTGCCAGTTGAGTTTTAAATTTACCAGGAATTGTAGATATCCCCCCACCAATCCAGAACCTGTTTATGCCAGTTGCACTAATTATTCTAATTATGTAAATTAATACACATAGACAAGAGAACTGTAATTTCCATGGAAACTAAGTTGAATGCTCTGGAAGACTCCATAAAATAGTTACTAAAAAAAAAACTGCCATTAAATTTTATGTAGGTGAGATAATTACACAAAAGTTGAGGAAAAAAATCGTAAGAGAAAGAGATGGGTTCTAAAAACTCTTTGCAAGAGTTTTAAATTTCTTACTCAGTCTTAAAGTTGAAAGTAACAATTATAAAAAATAATTTATGCGTATATTATATGCAAGATAGTCAACAAGGAATCTAATCAGACACACAAGTAGAAAGAGGGTGGTACTCTCAGCCTTTCATAAAAAAATTGACAAATCTATGTAAAATATTTAAGATATTTTTGTATAAATTCTTGTGATTCTGTACTTTTGACTCTTAATTAATGAAGCACCTGCCATTCCCGATCATTGGATAAGTCCTTATATTGCACATTTTTGACATTATAAACCAGGTGGAATCAAGATCTGAATTCCATGGTTGAAAAGAAAGAAAATTATCAATTGTCTACAGTTCTTAATCAAAGGACATTTTATAATTTGACTATTAAAGTGCATAATCTACAAGGAAGTATGTTTAAGAACATTTTACCAAATATACATAGTAAATACAATTTATCACATAGTAATAGTTAAAAATGTTAAAATATAATTTTTTAATTGAGAGAGAGAGAGAGTGCGCGCGCACACACGTGTGTGGGGAGGGGCAGAGGGAGAGAATCTCAAGCAGACTCCCCGCTGAGCTCAGAGCCCAACAAGGGGCTCGATCCCTTGTCCCATGAGATCATGACCTGACCCAAAACCAAGAGTTAGTCACTTAACTTACTGAGCCACCCAGGCGCCCCTAAAATATAATTTTTTAAAATGACATTTAATCTGATTCAGTTCTGATACCTTCTGACTTGACTAGCCCCCAACTGTCTATTTATTGTTTAGTTTTTAAAAGTATGTGCTGAGAAATACAGTTCTACCTTAAAAATATCAGACTAACTTTGAAATTTAAAACTGAGTTAGAAATTCTTTCTTGTTGGTCTTCAAACTAGCCTGAATGCAGAGGCCACCAGTCTTATGTGGGCCCGGTACAATCTAAAAGAAATTTTCCTCCTAGGGGTTTAAAAGTAAAGTACAGAGCACCATAAAGTAAAAAGTCAGCTGGTCTTAAGATTACTGAGTTACTATTGTGCATAATACTGATCACTGTACAGGACTACAGTTACATAAGAAAATGGGCTGAACCCAAACTATTATTAAATACAAGAAGTTTATTAAAAATTTCCACAATGCATTTGTTTTCTTATAATTTGTCCTTTTCTCCTACAAGGGAGGCATAGGCAATACATTTTGTCATGCTTTGGAGGGGCCTTTAAAAGGCCTAAACATCAGGGCGCCTGGCCAGTTTAGTCATGGAGCATGCAACTCTTGGTCTCAGGGTTCTAAGTTTGAGCCTCACATTGGGGGTAAAGATCACTTAAAAATAAAAGATCTTAAAAATAATAATAGTAATAAAAAGGCCTAAAGATCTTGTCATTTCTTCACCATTCCTGCAGCTAAATGTTTAGTTAATATCTATAAATCCACACTGATGAATAATTCAGTCACTGGCATTATTTATTAAGGCAACGATTTTCTATCAGTACATTTTAAATATTATTCCATTACTTAAGGTTTTTCCTCAGTTATTCTTTGAAGTAAACAGCTGTAAGATTATGCAGTTGATCTCTTATGGTCTCTCCAAATTCTATATGGGATAATCTGCTAGGAATTACACAAAAGTGAAAAAATTCTGTAAGCAATTTTACTGAAACAACAGATTAATTTATTGATGAAAAGAACATATAGAATGTAAATCTGTAGTTTAGTGAAACTTTTTGCTGCAGTATTTCTACTGCCCGCCTACCATCCCCTCACACACACACATACACACACACACACACAACACAGTACTATAGTATTTTGACTTATGCCTTAATTTTACAGTCATGGTTAAAGAATAAAAAAGTGTTCAGCCTCCCGCTAATATACTGAAGATTCTATTTCTCCTTTAAAAACTGCCATATTAAATGCACTGCTTGCTAAAGAAAATTTGCTTATATAATTAAATATTGTGATGCATATCTCATCAACAAATGTTTGTTAAAAAGAAAACAAAACGAGGAAATGAAAATACTTTCTTTAGTAAGAACGCAAAGCTTCCTCAAACAACTCGATAGATACATGAGCGTAAACCCAGTGAGTATAGGCTGGGTGTCTATATTCACAGTTAAAGAATTCAAAAGACATGCTCACTTTAATTCCATACAGCTCTATTTCATTTTTTTTTTCAAAAGTAGAATGAATTATCACTTTCAGACAATTGTGCAATGTTAGCTTTTCTTTCCCTTATAAATGGATACCTTTTAGCAGCAGATGAAAGAGTTTCTTTTCTTGCAATTGCGACAGAGCTGGTGTGGCTTGGCTTTCTGTTTGCACCGCTCCCGTTGGTAATACAGGACATAGAAATAGCTTCTCGAAGGCCTGGAGGGCCTAAAAGTGGTTAAGAAAAAAAACTTTACATCAAACTTCAAAATACTCCTCAAAAATTGGGAATTTAAAAAATTAAGTCCATTAGTGGTTAGAACTAAGTAAGCAAACTGCTCCCTCTGGTATGCAGCATACAATGTTAGTGTCTCTAATCTTAATCTCATCAAAACAGACCTATAAAAAAGGCCATGCTAAATTACTACACTGCAGCTAGACTTATTCTCTAGCGAAATGGTTTGCCCTCTACACACAGCAGCTTTAAAACACATGATGCAAAGTAAATCACAAATTTCCACATCACTGATTTTCAGAAATTTCAGTTCTACTGAAGTCAAACTATTTAGAAATCCTAGAACCATAAATGTTAAATCTGACAGTTATTTCATATAAATAAAGCATAAATGTATAAAGCATTTCCTGATTTACAGAGTAGAAGGACTGGAATAAGTATGTGATAGGTATGTTGGTGTGGTTAGGAAGAGTCAAAGTTACAAGATCAAAGAGCCTTTATCTACTAAGGGGCAAGTTCATTTAAAAATTTGAGAACAGAGAATAGTTTTGAACTTTTGGACTCCGTTTTCTCACATACACACAAAATCTAATTTGGCCAATCTCATCTTTGCTTGCTTCTCTTCATAAAAGCACAGAGAGTAAAAAAATTTTATGTATGGAGGCTAAAATACTTGGCACCCCAGACTGTTCCCTATATGATGGTGTAACACTGCATTTTTGACAAGAACAAGCTGCTAGGGGCTACTTGTATCATAATCATCTATAATGTTTCCTTAATATAGAGATTCCTAGACCTAACCTCAGAGCAAATAATTCAGAAGAAAGGAAGATGGAGACCTATTGTATTTACTTTTTGAAATTTCCCAGGAAAATTTTCACTTATATGAATGTACAGTAACTTCCAAATTATGCTAACATCACCGGTCATCAGATCTGCTAGTCTGCCAAACAGGTGACTCCTTGTTGTACAGACAGCTTTTTTTTTTTTATTGTGGTAAAATACCTTTAACAAAATTTACCCTTTTAAGCATTTAAAAAGGTACACAGTTCAGTGACATTTAGTATAGTCACAATGTGCTGTGCAACCATATTCGATTCCAGAACATTCTGATTACCCCAAACAGACACCCTCTACTCACTGAACAGTCACTCCCCATTCTCTCCTTCTTCCCCCCCAGCCCATGTCAACCATTAATTTGCATTATCTCTATATATCTGCCTATTCTTTATACTTCATATACATGGAATCATACAATATGTGCTCTTTTATGTCTGGTTTATTTTACTTGGCACAATGTTTTCGAGGTTCATCCATGTGGCAGCATTTATGAGTACTTTATTGCTTTTTATGGCTGAGTAATAGTCCACTGTATGAATATACCACATCTTGTTTATCCATTTATCTGTTGAGGGACATCTAGATTGTTTTAATCTTTAGGCTACTGTGAATTGTACTTCCATAAACATTTGCATACAAGTTTTCATTCGAACATCTTTTTCACTTCTTTTGAAAGGGTACAGAACTAAGGAGTAGAACCGCTGGGTCACATGGTATTTTATGTATAACTTAATGAGGAAACATTAACACAGCAGCTGCACCATTTACAATTCCACCAGCAATGTCTAAAGTATTCTTATTTCACCACATCCTTGCCAACACTTGCTATTTTCATTTTATAAAAAAAAGGTATTTATCTTGGTGGGGGGCAGAGGGAAAGGGAGAGGGAGAGAATCTCAAGCACACTCCCCACTGGGTGTGGAGCCTGCTGTGGGGCTCGATCTCACCACCCTGAGATCATGACCAGAGTCAAAATCAAGAGGCAGATGCTTAATCAACTGAGCCATGCAGGTGGCCCACATTTTTTTAAATTATAGCTAAACTTAATATAAAGTGCTCAGTTAACAATAAGTGCCATTTCACTGTAGTTTTGATTTGCATTTCCCTAATGAGAATCTCACTGAGTTTGTTAGCCAGTGAGATGTGTAAATCTCCTTTAGGGAATTATCAATTCAAGTCCTTTGCCCATTTTTCAATAAGACAATATGATGTGAATTATTCATAATGCTCTCTTACAATTCTTTTATTTCTGAAAGGTCCCCACTTTCATTTCTGATTTTGGCAATTTAAATCTTCCTTCTTTTTCATTCTACCTAAAAGCTTGTCACATTTGTTGTAAAAAACCAACATTTGGTTACATTGATTCTGTTGTTTTTCTGTTCTCTACTTCATTTATCTCTAATCTTTATTATTTCTTTCCCTCTGCTAGCACTGCATTGGGTTTAGTATTTTTTTTCTATTTTTTTAAAGTTAGGTTACTGATTTGAGATGTTTTAGCGTAGGCATTTACAGCTACAGATTTTCCTCTGAACACTGCTTTTGCTGTATCAACAGTTGGTTTTGAAATATATATATATTTTACTTTTTGTTACATACCAAAAAAAACCCATTAACCACTACATGAAAACAAGCAAACAAACATATAGTCTGCAATCCACTTTTCATGCTCTTTCAATGTCCCAAACCTCATCTCAAAAAGGAGATCAATCACACCCATTAGGTATGGTACTACAGCTGTATACCTTTTACATTATTGCTATTACATCAAAACCAAAAACCAAAAAAATGCAAGTGTTGAAAAGGATGTGAAGAAACTGGAATTCTTGTGTATTTCTGGTAGGAATGCACCTCAACCTGCAATCTACCATCTAACCACTCCACAGACATTTTTCTTGCCAAGATGGTGATCTTGGTTCTTTGTCACTAAATTCAATGGATACTTTCCAGTCCTTATCTTGCTCAACGTTCCTTCAGCATCGAATACTGCTGATCATTCAGGCAAGGACGGTATTCAGGCAAGGACAATGTCCTTAGTTTTGAGGACACTGCCTTTGCCTGAATTTCTTCTTAGCTCTTTGACAATTTTTTCTCACATTTGCTGGATCTTCTTTTCCTGCTTAGATCCCCCCCACCCCAAAATTTATTTATCTGAAAGAGAGAGCGAGAGTGCTCAAACAGGGGGAGGGACAGAGGAAGAGGGAGGGAGAGAGAATATCCAAGCTGACTCCCTGATGAAACAAAGTGTTTACAAAAGAGTAAAAGGCAGTTAACTAGCATCAAGGAGTTCAAAATCTTGCAAGAGAATCATGCTGGCCATGAAAATATGTGGTAAGTGCAGTAACAGTGATATGAACATAATATCATGGAAGTACAAAGACACATGATTCTGTAAAGATGACTAGGAACACAGAGCTCAAGAAAGATCTCCTAGAAGAAATGCACAACAAACTGTTAAGCCAGGTAAAACATAGGTGATAAGATACTTGGATCTTATTCCAGTATGTGTAAAGAAATAGAAAGAATGTAATAGCAAAGTGGGGTGTCGATGTGTGCATGGAAGGGAGGAGATAGACAAAAAGCTCTCTATATGGTGAGAATGTAGAACAAGAGGGAAGAGTTCAGATGGCAGAGGTAAGCAGTAGTCAGATCATGGAGACTTTTGTACAGAGGATAGAGACCACTACAAGGTTTTGAGCTGAAAAAAGGAATTATTTCAATTTACATTTTAGAGAAAACCCTCTAGTGGCTATTTGAAGAGCAGATTTCAGGGCAGTGATCCAAGCATAAGATGATGGGGACCTGAAATAAGAGCCTGGTAGTATGAATGCAGAGGAGGAGTCAGTTTTAAGAAATGTTTAAGACAAAGAATAAGGAGTTCAGTTTGGGGACATTTTACAGTTACGAATTCTAAAGGATATACACACAAGCAGAATAATCTAGGAAGTAGACAATTCTGAAGTGAAGTCCAGATCTGGGAACAATTTGGGAACTGGCACTAATAAGTGGCTGTGAAAATCATGAAGGTAGGTGAGTGCTGATGCTACCTCCTACAAGGAACCTTCAACTCCAGTTTAAGTATTTATCCTAGGTGCTCCTACAGCACCCTAAATTTACCTTTTTATTACCAATTACTTATAATTTTGTAATACTGATCTGTCTTCTCAGTTTACCTGAGGTCCTTTGGGGGCAAGGCAGTGTTTTTTCTTTCTTTAACCTGCAGCACCTAAAACAGTGCCTTATACAGTGAAAAGATGAAGGAAATAGACACTGTCAATACAGTGGTGTGGAGTAATATTAATTATCAAATGTTTGCTATGTGCTAGGCATTGTCCCAGGTACTTTACAAGTGGTATATCCTTTAATTTTAAGCAAAATCCTAAGAGGGATTTACTATTATCATCCTAATTTTACTGCTGAACAAATTGGAGAGATTATTAACATGCTCAGAGTTCTATTGTAGTAGGCAGTGAAATGAAAATTTGAGTCCAGGCAGAAGGAATAATAAGTAGAAAGAAAGAATTCTGCCTAACGTAGAGTGACATTTTAAGCTGTGCCAGGGTAACAGATAGGAATTTACCAGGGGGAGTATGGGAAAAGGAAATTCTAAGTAGGTAATAGTACTAAATCATCAAGGTCCCCAGATACTAATAAAAATAGGAAGAAAAGGCCAAAAGAAGATTTTCATGGTCCCCTTCAATCCTATAGTTTAATTTGAGATAGCTCTTGGTACTGGGAATCCTTAGTATCTGGATGAAAGAGTGAGTATCTCCCAAGGTAGAGGCAATGCATTAAGTAAAGGAGAGGCAAAAAACAAAAAGGAACTGTGGGTGAATGCTTGTTTTTCAGTTGAGAAGTCTAAAGTGTATTCTTTGAAAATCAGGAACTGGAAGAATGGAACATAAAAATGATTACTGCAGTTACACAAATCCATGACTGGAATGCACCACTAGAGAGAGAGAGAGAGAGAGAGA